CGACTCTGTGTTCGGTGCACGCCTGCCCTCGACTCGTCCGTAGGCCGGCCATCGCAGCCCCCGTCCGCGTGGTCGACTGTCCACACGTCTGACCCCCGCATACCCGGCCCGGCTATCGTCGCGTGCTCAACGGAGTCATGACACGCATCCGTCCATGCGGCAGGGACCGCTTTGAGGAGAAGCGCGACCGTCGGGGCGGGTTCGGCCGCGACTGGCTGTCGGGGCCGCAGCACGGCGGCGGCTTCGGTCGCGAACCTGCCGGCGACGGCCGCGGCTTCCACCAGGCCGGCGGCGGCGGCCGGCGGCGCGGCGGCGACCGCAGCGACCGCCGCCGCAGCGACGAGGACGCCAGTCAGCCGGAGTGGTTCTCGGCCGGACCGACCAGCCAGCACGACATGATCGAGCTGCACGGCTTCGACGAGCCGGTCGACGAGCCGGAGCCGCCGGCCGAGGCGCCGGACACGCACGCCAAGCCAGCCAAGACGGGTGAGCGGCGCGCCGCGCCGAGACGGCGGGGGTGTGCGATGGGGCTTACGGCGGTGGGCGCGCGCTCGGTGGCGTGTGTGGTGCGTCCGCTTTGTGTGGTGCGCTGTGGAGGCAGGCGTGGTCTCGTGTTTGTTGGGGGCAGTGTGGGTGTATGGTGCGCAGCCTAAGAGAGTGCCGTCGCCCGCCAGCCGAGCCGCCTGTGGCGCCGCCGGCAGCGGCGGCTGCGGCGCCTCCGGCTCCGGTCGCCGAGCCGGCGGCGGCCGAGCCGGCGCACCGCGCCGCCGCCGAGCCGGCCTTCCTGGACGACCCGGCCATCCAGTCGACGATCCAGCACCACCGGCCGCCGGCCGACCCGGCCGACTTCAACCTGGACGACATCCTGCGTCTGGACATGGACAGTCTGGCGCTTAACGCGGTCGGCGGCGGCGGCACCGGCACGGGCACCGGCAGCAGCCGCTTCAGCCAGTGGTTCCGGCGTAACTCGCCGCCGCCGGTGTCGGCCGCCGGTGCCCCGGCGCCACCGCCGCCGCCTCCGCCGCCGCCGCCACCGTCCGGCGCCGAGCGCCGCTCCAGTCTGCGGGACGAGCTGGTCGGCAATATTCTGAACGGTGAGCGGCGGTGCGCAGACGCCAGGGGATGACGTGTACGTTGGTTACCTGGGTTCATGTGAGGAGGTGGAGGAAATATTCGGGCTTCAGTGTGCGGCGCGAGCGTTAAGCGGTGTCTGAGGTGCGGTGGTGGGTGGGCGCTACAATTTAAAAGTTGCTAAATGTGGTTTAAATGTCGGATTCTGTTGGACCGGCCCAAGATGCGGAAGTCTGCTTTATCGTCGTCCAGATATCTGTGGTCCTGTTTGTGTGAGCGGGTGGCGTGACGCCGGCCTCTGACGCGCCACTGCAGGTCTGGAGGACCTCTCTCTGAAGATCCCGGCCAGCGAGCCAGACGTCTACTTTGCGCCCATCTCGCCGGCGCACAGCAGCGACAAGATCAAGGGCGACATCCTGTGCATGCTGCAGCGGGGGCCGCAGCAGCAGACGGAGGACACCGTTAACCTGGCCGTCAAGCTCGGTGAGATCTCGAGGCGGCCGCGGGCGCCGCTGCGGCGGGTGCGAATGTCCCGAAGTGATCTGACGGGTGTGGGTCGGTGGGCTTGTCGCCAGTACGGTTGTGATCTTACGGTGCAATAAGGCTGTGATCTGGCGCGCAGAAATCGGTGGGCTTGTCGCCAGTACGGTTGTGATCTTACGGTGTAATAAGGTTGTGATCGGGCGCGTAGAAATCGGTGGGCTTGTCGCCAGTGTGGTTGTGATCTTACGGTGTAATAAGGTTGTGATCGGGCGCGTAGAAATCGGTGGGCTTGTCGCCAGTGTGGTTGTGATCTTACGGTGTAATAAGGTTGTGATCGGGCGCGCAGAAATCGGTGGGCTTGTCGCCAGTGTGGTTGTGATCTTGCGGTGTGATAGGTTGTGGCCTGGCGCGCAGAAATCGGTGGGCTTGTCGCCATCGTGGTTGTGCTTGCCCCGCTGCGGCCGGCACACTGCGCTGTTCTGACCCGCGCTTGTGCCGTGCAGCGGCCATGGGCGGCAAGGCCCACAACGTTGCCGACCTGGAGGCGAGCGTGCGACCCGACCTGCCCCGGCCGCAGCCGCAAGATGACGCCGCCGCCTTCAGGAGGCTGGTCAGTCGCGCTCGACGCCTTCCGGCTGGCGCTGTACGGGCGCGCCGCTGGTTTGCTCTGAGTTGGCGCAATCGCCGCGCCGCCATTGGTAGCTGTATTGTCTCGGATGGTTGGTCTAGTAGGCTTTTAGTAGATGAGGTGGTCCGCTTCGAGCGCGCTGTTGCAGCTGGCTTTCGTTGTTCCAGTCTTCTTTGTTTGTTTGCACATCTCTCGTAGATCCGTCTGCATAATGCGCCGGCCTGGGTGTGAATTTAGCGCATATGCTTTGCGTCTCCAATTATGTTTCGGTGATGTTTCAAGATAGTTATGGCCGCGCTTGTCACCAATATGAAGCACCCATCGCACATATTACCCTATTTGTATAGCTCACAATGCTATGTATGCATCTTTACATTACATTAAAACTACACCTGTGAGAAAGGCCTGGTCACACTTGGTATGATACCAAACTAATATTTATGCTTGTTTTCGGATTTTTCAAAGAAAGTCCTCAGAAAACCTAGAACAGTAATCCACCGCAGACTGCAAGGCTTCCACCAAAGCCCGCTATCACGCTGACGGTGGCGTGTTGCCCACCGCGCCTGGGTCGCCTGGCGACCCTTCGGGTCGGCTTCCGGTGCGTCCGTCCCGCCGCCGCCGCCGCCGCCGCCGGCCGCCGTGCCCGGGCGCTGGCTGCCGGCGACGCTCCGGCGTTCGCGCAGCTGCCGGCCGGCGGGCTGTAGTGCGCCGCCCGCCCGGTCCGCTGGCGCCGCCGCCGCCGCCGCCGCCGCCGTCGCCGCCGGCCGCTGGCTGCCGTGCCCGGGCGCTGGCTGCCGGTGGCGCTCCGGCGTTCGCGCAGCTGCCGGCCGGCGGGCTGTAGTGCGCCGCCCGCCCGGTCCGCTGGCGCCGCCGCCGCCATCGCCGTCGCCGCCGGCCGCCGGCCGCCGGCCGCCGTGCCCGGGCGCTGGCTGCCGGCGGCGCTCCGGCGTTCGCGCAGCTGCCGGCGGGCGGGCTGTAGTGCGCCGCATGGTCCGCTGGCCCCCGTAACCGGCTGTCGGCTTGCAGGTGTCGCAGTTACGCGCGTCAGAAGTGCCCTCTAACCGGCAGAAAGCGCCACCGCCTCCCCCCTCCGACCCTTTCTCGCAGGTTAGTGCGCAGGTGCAGGCGGCGCAGCCAGTCCTGCTAGAGTTGCTCGAGCCGGAGTAGCGTTCAGTTCGCTTTTGATTGGCGTGTATTGGCGGATGTATTTTTTGCGCAGCTTAGTTCTACGAGGACGGGGCCATGCAACTTTAAGTCGGTTTTATGTGTGTAGCAATACAGTATCGCTTTTCGTCGTACTTTGGTGCGTGTTGGGATTGCTTCCAATAGTCGCGGTACACGCAGCTCTAATTTGAAGCACGGTTCGGCAGTGCAGCAGTCTCACTGGGCGTCGGGAAATTCGTGTACACGGGGCTCGATTGCGGGCGATGGCCGCCCTCCTGGCCAGTGTGAGATAACCAACTAATGAACCAACCAATCTGGATTGTAACGTTGTGCGGTGATCCTCCTGTGGTTTACCCTGGTTGATGTTTGGTGGGTAGAAGTCTCGCACGTTTTCTTCGACGCTTTTTGTCAGCTTTTGGTGCAGAACAGCTCGCAGGGAATTCATGCGTCAATCCTTGTCTGGTAATTTAACCTCAAATTGTCCAGTCTTGTCACGACTTAACCCTTTCTCAGCAGACCCGTGATCAAAGGAAATACCCAGCATTTCACTGTCCCTCCGTCCTCTAGCGTTTACGGACCCTCCCTCTCCTTTGCCCCGCTGGAGTCCGTCGAGCGCGTCGTCGGAGTGCCGTGCCGCTCATGTGACGTCGGGCCGCGTGTGCCGCAGATGCTGGGCAAGCCGGCGCCGCAGCTGGTGCGTCCGGCGCCGCTGCAGCCGGGAGAGCCGCGTCCGCTCACGCCCGCCGCCGGCCCGTCCTCCAGCGTCACACAGGAGAACCTCATGAAGCTGCTCCAGATGCAGCAGCAGCAGGAACAGCGCCGGCGCGAGCAGCAGCACCACCAGCAGCAACAGCAACAGCAGCAGCAACAGCAGCAACAGCAGCAGCAGCAGCAGATGGCGGTACACAATCTGCAGCAGCTGCTGACGATGCAGCGGGCCACCAGCCCGGCGCCGTCGCCGCTGGAGCAGCTCATGGCCATCCCAGAGGCGCGCAACATCCTGGTGGGCCTGCAGACGGGCCGGCTCAGTCGCCAGAACCTGATCCAGCAGCTGCACAATCAGGTCAGCGGGGCGTTCGGGGCGGCGCTCAGGTCAGAGCTGTGGGGGAGGGCATCGAGCGGCGTCCAGGTCGGACTTGTTGTGTAGGTTAGAGGCGGGGTCGGGGTCAGCTCAGGTTGCAGGCGAACTCCAGGTCGTCGCAAAAGACCCTGCTCCTGATAGCTCATGTACCAGTCCACCGCCGCTTGCGACAAGTGTTCATATCCGTTCATTGTCGTCCGTCCCGTCGCCCGGCCAGCGCATCGCTCGCTTCCTGCCCGTTAGATCGTGAGGTCGCCAGCATCAATTTTCGGCGGTGGACACGAATGCGCTCGTCGCAACGCTTCACGCTTTTGTCGTGACGCTTGTGGGAAGTGAAGTTATACGTCAACTCCGGTTTAGTGTTTGACTGCTGGGCGCTAGATCGGCTCATGCTGGCAGACGTCCGTTAACGTGCACAGGCACTGTGACGTGGGTTAGTGCCCATGCCTGGCCGGGTGCACGGACGCGCATCGCTGGCGTCGGGCCCGTGGCCGACCGTGCATGTTGTCTGACGCGGCGCGTGCGGCCGATTCAGGTGCTGCAGCCGCGCCTGCGGGAGATCATCGTGGCTGTGCTGCGGCTGCCGCAGCGCGTCTCGCCGCTGCCCGAACCGCTGCAGTCGGCGCTGCGCGCGCCGCCAGCCCAGCGCAACCCGAGCCCATTCCAGCACCTGGGCGTGGCGCCGGCGGCCGGGCCCCACCGCGTGCCCTCGCCGCAGGAGATGCGCATCCACACGCAGAACATCTTGCAGCAGGCGCTCATCAAGCGCAAGCTCGAGGAGCAGAAGGAGAACTTCCGCAAGCGCCAGGAGAACAGGTGGGCGCGCCGCGGCTGGCGCCTACGCCCACGTGCGGGCGCCTCCGCAGACGGAGACGTCTCGCTGCGCCGGTTGTTGTGGCGGCCATAACCGCAGTAACCCGCCATCGATGGCTGAAGTGACCGATGTTGAATGCGTTTGTGTCGTCACAGTCGCGTCAAGTGTTAAGTGTGTTAAGCTCACGCAGTGCTTCGTCGTGGACGCTCTTGGTGCCGGTTCAGCCCGCTTCAAAACAGATGGTGTGGGCGCTGAGGATCGTTCAGCGCGCGGTGAGTGCAGCATGTTGTGACGCTGACCGGTGGTGCGCCGTGCGGCCAGGGAGAAGTCGCCGCTGCTGGACGGCGGTGTCCCGGACGGCGACCGCCGCCGGCCGCCCAACACCACGCCAGCCTCGCTGGCCTTCACGCCGACGGCCGTGCTGCGTAACATGAAGGCCGAGGCGCGCGGCTCGCCCGAGCACAGGCCCAAAGGTAGGCCGAGGCCGGCCGACACGTCCACCCCGACGGGGGGGGGGGGGGGGGGCTCACCACACCTGGCTGGGCGGGACGGACTGTTCCTCGCGTCCGGCGGCCCGTCCGCAGACGGAGGAAAGCCGTCACCACGCTTCGTGATCAATCCGTCCGATGGACACAACGTGTGCTGACATGGCGAGTGAGTGCCGCCAGGGAAGGGCGGCTTGTCAAGGGTTTGAAGGCGCATGATAATTGTAATCATAACCTATGTGGCCTGTAAACAACAACTCACTCTGCATCGATTTGCACAAAGAGTTTTGTATTCTTAAATGGAAGGCGAGTATTTGTATACCAGGTATAACATACTGACAAAAGAGACAAACCAATCATGCCTTTTGCTCAGTATTTATCCGCTGCACTGACGATCCTGATATCCAAGGGCATGTTTTGCGACAGTGATTGTTGCGCCCGGGATGTGGAAGCAGTATGGGGGCGCTATGTGTGTCCATCACGGCCGTCAAACGCCCCAGGTGCGGCCCATGGCATGGCTCATGTAATGTGAAGCAGAGAGCGTGGCGGCTCGTGCTTTCCCACCACCCAGCCAGGGCTTGCGTCGACGGTGTTGTTACTGCCAGTCTTCCCTTCTCCTCTCTCTTCAGGAGCTGAAGACAGCTCCCTCACTTATGGAAGACAGTGAATATGATAGTCTGGGTGTTTTGGTGTTGACTTAGCGTATAAGTGCATCATTGCATGGCATTGGTTCAACAGATCAAAATTTTACCACCCTTCGTTTATCAACAGCGGGTTTGAAGTGACGCGTCTTTGAGGTGGAAATGGTTATAATGTGTGCAGATTAATCGAATCATTGAAAGATGGACACTAACACAATTATTTTTAGTTTAATAGTCAGGTTGGTCAATGTCCCGTCTTAGACCCGGGTTGCTCGGCTCAGTCCCCTCCCCCTTCCCCTGTAATGTAGTCTTGACGGCTGGTTAATTTGACGGGGTCCCTGTCCTTCGCCGAAACGTGGTAGCTGGCCTGTTGAAGTGGTTCTATTATGACCGCTATACCACTGGTTCGATACCTTCTACCAGCTGTGCTTCGGCTTCCCCGTCACCATCCTCATGATGAATTGAGGTAATGCCACGCTAATGATGGCTGCATGTGTCGCGAAAGCACGTAAAACCATTGTAGTACTGCGATGCTGGTGCGGGCGCTGATGGCGCTCCCTCTGCAGGTCGTCCGCTGGTCAAGACCAACCCGGACGGCCCGCACATGTCCGTGTCGGCCGGCAACATCCAGTCGGTGGCGGCCAAGCTGCTGGAGACGCAGGCCCAGCTGCAGCAGCAGCAGCACCAGCATCAACACCAGCACCACCAGCAGCAGCAGCCGTGGCTGCGCGCGGCCGCACCGGCCGGCCACCCGCCGCCTTTGGCCTCCAACCCGCTGGCCCGCTGGTTCAGCCCCGAGGTGCTGGCCAGTGCGCGCGCCGCCCAGCTGCCCGACCTGCCGGCCTCGGCCCAGCAGCGCGTGCTTAGCGTGGAGGAGCTGGAGCGCCACCAGGTGCTGAACTAGAGGGCGCGCTGGCTCCTCCGGCGAGTGTCGCGCTGCCGGCCGCGCCAATACAACCATGTGATAGGGGGCTCGGCCGGGAGGGCGCGCCGCGCCAGTCGCGGCCGGACGGGGCGACGGACCGCCGACTGACCGGCCGGCGCTCCGGCCCCGGCTCCCCCACTGTACAAACGTGTTCCGTGTCGGCGTGCGCGTGTGCTGTTGCGGTCGGCGAGCAGACTGGCGAGAAGGTGCGACGGGTGAGTCTGGACACGGTGGATACGCCCGGCGAGTGGTGTCTGTTCGGGCGACAGTGCGCGTGCGAGTGCTCCAAGCTAGTGTGTGAGAACTGACGGCGCGCCAAGTGTGATGCGCGTTACCCGCAGGGTAAGCACGCATTTAAGTGTAAGTAGCGTTGTAAGCGTATGTAGGCGGGCTGGGCGGGCCGACGCTGTTGATAGTTAGCAGCCGTGGGAGCTGGGACGACGTCCGGCGATCGGTAGCCGTAGGCGATGTAACTGTACCCAGGTTGACGTTACGCTAGTCGCTAGCAGTGAGACAACTAGGGGTGGGGCCGGCGCGGCCGGTCGGCGGCGGACCGCGCGCCACGCGGCGGGCCGCCGCCAGCCGCGTGTCGGCCCCGGGGCTGCGGTGCGGGGCGTCGAGCCGGTCTCCAGACCGCGCCTGGCCGCCGGGCCGCGCAACCAAATGTGATATTAAAGGCGTGCAAATCCAGCAACGTTTCTTTCTGGTGTACCTAGCGGGGCGGCGGGCCGGCCGCCCGCCCCGTCCCGCCTCGTTTACCCGGACGTGTATTTATTTGGGTCGGTGCCGAGTCGAACCCGTTGAGTTACTGTTTCGTGTGCGCGTGCGTGTCGGCGGGGCGGGGCGGGCGGCGGGCCCGGTCGCGGCCGCGTCGTGCTCAGTGTCAGTGGTGAGGTGGCGACGGTGGGCCGCGGCGAGCGCCGGCGGCGCGCGGGCCGCGCGCCGCCGGCGGCGGACGGCCGCACCGCCCTGTACATAGGCCGCCGGCCGGCGAGAAGTGAACGCCGGCCGGCGGCGCGGACGGAGGCGCGGCAGCTGTGGCTCTCAGTGTCGGCTTGTCGGTGTTCGGCGGTGCCGGGAGCACCCCGCGCATGCGCGCACGGGCGCCGCGGCCGCTCTGATTCACCTCCGTTCGTTTCGGCGTCTTTGGGTGTATATGATTAACCGAGTTTTCTGTGGTTTTTTGTACTGAGTTCTTTTCATGATCAGATTATAAATAAATAAATCTTTATTGCTAGTTTGCTGTTTCACCACGCCTTACATACAGACCGAGGTATGCAGGGTTTGGTGTGGACATTCTCCGGCCTGCTTCGAGCATGGGATCCTCGCAGTATTTGTGGCAGCTGGTCGTGCCGCCGACTCAATGCATGGACGCGCCGCGACAATTCGTAATAACAATTATGGCGGATCTTGCTGCTGCTGGTGGTGATAGAAAAGTAGCGTTTTCGCTGGGCGCCGTCACGAACCCGCGTCATCCAGCTGTGCGTGTCTGGTGTGAGACTACAAATCGCGGCTTAGCACTTTATTATGTCCGCCATCAGCTAGTCAGCACATCACTGTGCGGAGAACGTTGCATGTGTATCTAGGCGGCTAAGTTAATGGGTTACTCACGCGCAGGTACTGATAGGGTGACGGTCAAATGTCCTGGTCTCCAGTGACCCAAGTCACTGGTCAGCAGCATCGTTACTGGTACGCTGCACTGACGTCACTGACAAGCAGCACTGACATCGCTGGCGAGCAGCACTGACCACTGGTAAGCAGCGCACGTCGCTGGCGAGCAGCACTGACGTCGCTGGCGAGCGGCGCCGACATCGCTGCTAAGCAGCACTGACGTCATTGGCAAGCAGCACTGATCGCTGGAGAGCAGCACTGACGTCGCTGGCGAGCAGCACTGACATCGCTGGTAAGCTGCACTGACGTCACTGGCAAGTAGCACTGACATCGCTGGCGAGCAGCACTGGCGTCGCTGCTAAGCAGCACTGACGTCATTGGCAAGCAGCGCTGACATCGCTGGCGAGCAGCACTGGCGTCGCTGCTAGGCAGCACTGACGTCATTGGCAAGCAGCACTGACATCACTGGCGAGCAGCACTGACGTCGCTGGCGAGCAATACTGACGTCACAGGTTACCAGCATTGATGTCACTAGCAAGGAACACTGACGTCACTGGCAAGCATCACTGATGTCACTGGCAAAAAGCATTAACATCGCTGACCAGCATCACTGACGTCACTGGTAAGCTGCACTGGCGTCACTGGCAAGTAGCACTGACATCGCTGGCGAGCAGCACTGGCGTCGCTGCTAAGCAGCACTGACGTCAGTGGGAAGCAGCCCTGACGTCACGGGCGAGCAGTACTTGCACGCTACCAGCATCTTACAAACTTACTCGTAGCGGTGCTCAACTGAGCCATGTCTTCGGCGCGTCGTTCCATGGGGAAGTCCTGCTACTGCTGATGCATTAGTCCTTGCTGGCAGTAGCTCCGCAAACCTCCGTCCGATGCACCGTCTCTGCTGGATCCCCGCCGGCCACGGTCGCCGGTTCGCCGGTAACGTTCAGTACGGCTGCGTGCTGCCCGTCAGCCGGAGCGCGATCGGCGTCTTGCTGCGCACCGGCGGCGGGCTGACGGTGCTGCACCGCCTCCACGTGCCGACTTCCCTCCGCTCCACCACCTGCAGCGCGTCCATCAGCCGGGCCAGCACCGCCTGGCACGGATCCTCCGGCTCCCGCGACGGCGGGCTTGGCGGCGACCGCAGGCCGTCGACGACGCCACTCGACCGCCGCTGCATCTCTCGGCAGAAGCTAGCTCGCAGGCGGTGCGACCGTCGCGGGGCCGGCGGAGGCCTCTCAGCGGTCAACGGCCGGCGCGCCGGCGGCGGCGGCGACAGCGCGTGTGTCGGCCGCCGGCCGGGCGTCCAGAGCGCATCGGCCAGCACGGCCGGAGCACTGCTGCTGCGCGGCCGGCCAGCGGCCGGCGCCGGCAGCGCCCAGTTAAGCAGCACCAGCTCCAGGCTGGTGCTGGCCACGCTGGCTGACGGCGGCGCTGGTGAGGAGAGCGTCGGCGGCCGGACGCGTCGCCGCGCTCGCCGGCCACCCGCATGTCGGTTGATGTTGGATCCGGTGCCGGTCAGCCGCCCGCCCGCCGGGCAGACCCGCTCGGCGCTGGCTCGCATCCGCTGGTACAGCCCCTCGCTCCGCCGTCTGGACTCAAGTTGCCGCTCCAGGAAAAGGCGGACCTGGCTCGCGTGTGCCCGCTCCGCTCGTGTCCTCTGCTTTTCCAGCCGCACCAACTCTGACTGGTGCTGACGGGTGTGGAATGGCACCTCAACCATCTCGGCCCTGCGCAGTTGCGATCTCACCGTGGTCTTCGCTTTACTGCGGCGCTTTGGCTCTTCTGTCAGCCATCCGGCGTAATTATCGTAGCTTTCCATATCACGACAGTTCTTAACAGATCGCTGCTTCCATTACGTCCCTAAAATACACCAGGGATAGCTCATCTCCAGAGGAAGCAGACATCCAGCACCTCCTGGATCGTTGAGGTTGTAGGGATGGTTAGCATACGAATGCGACAGAGGCAGCTGGTACCTGGCCACTTTCTTACTGTGGGAAGAAAAAGTTCGTTTCCATTACCGTTGATAGGCTCAATCTATACCGTTCACCTCACTTTTGCCGTTTTTGTCTCCGATGCAGCTCGCTGGCGGACGTTCTCTTCACTGTAGACCGACTAGGGGATCCATAGCCGGAGTAATGAAGGCGGCGAGCAGTGTGATTGTTGAATCAATAAAATCGTTGGCAGAAAGAGGATTGGGCGCGCCTCTAACATCGGTGTTAAATGATAGGGATCTATCCTGGGTTTACTACTGCCTGATTTTAGCCCTGAAACCACCATGCTCCATGATGAACGCGAGTCATTTAGTTGCGCACCCGTTCGGATGTGCCCAATAACAACCATACTTGCAGACGAGTCGGAACTCGGAACTTTGTAACAAAAACATTGTACGACAGTCTTTTAGTCCAGACAGAGTTGTGTAAGGTGGCGCGAGACAGACAAAAAAATGGGTAGCAGGATCCAACACGGGTTACTATTACCCACTATTACCACCTTCTTGCAAGGTTCGCAATCAGTGAGGTAAAGATTCTATGGCGTGTTGTTGATTTGTGATGTGAAATAAAACGCCATATGTATTTCAAAGATCTGTCTCCTCATTTTTGTGAAAGTGGCCAATAACTGTCTATTGAACGCAGGCATGGAAATCGGGAACTAGACCAACTTCAACACTCATTTGTGTGTTGACAACAATGACATTTGTAAACCACATTGCTGTGCATTAACTGTCATAAAGGATGCAATACTAGATATGATGAGCAGTGAGATGAATTAATTCCATTTTGTAAATGAGATAGCTATGATGTCACACTGTCCATCACCAACACTGATTTGGCCAACTCGGTCACCAGTGAGATTTGTAAATAATGCTAATAAACTGTAAATGAGATTTGTAAATAATAATGGCATGAAGCATAATTATGTGTGCTATTTGCTAATGAAACCAATTATGAAATTAGTGGACAAAGTTTTGAACAAGAATAACATTATTGATGGTCCATCACTCAAAAACAGCATTACCTCATTACAACATGTTCAGTCTGTACCTAAATTGCTCTATTTGTGTGAGATCATGTAGTATGTCATCTATTTTATTGCACACTTTTAGGATTCTGTATGTAGTTTTGCATGATCTTTCACCTTTTTTATGGTAAACACTGTACCAGTGCAAGGTTTACCATGGTATGAGAAATGCTAAGCTGCTACTTGTTTGTTGTTTTATGCAATGAAAATGTGCATTAGGGTGATATGAGGCGCAGTATAATAGTTGCAGGAACCAGGTCTAATCTTCTCCATTTCCCGTGCATGACATTTTTCAGGATGTAGGATATGATGAAGGATGGACCTTGGTCCTTCTTTTGAATGACCTAAATTACAATGCTAGATTGTGGCCTTTTATTGCACCATAGCATGCAGACATTGCCCATGTCAAAGATGGAAAATATAACTGGTAGGTTATGTGCTTTGTTAAGCTCTGAATGGCAGTTAATGGTGCTATCAGAAAAATGTGCATTGAATTAACTGGTTGTTTTGCAGGTGAGAGAATGAAAGAAAAGGTAGTTTAAGATGCCTAGAAAGCAATGACAATGTGCCATCTTCCATCCAAGTGAAAACAAAATTAACACTTGATGAACAGGTGTGGTATGGCTACACAAGCTGCAAGTGTTCTTCTTTTGTAATTAGTGTTTGAACCTTGAGAAAAGCAGCATTGAGAAATGGTTAGGGTAGGATATATAATGTTTTGAGATGCATCAGGTGTGCAGTTGATTAGGAAACTTATTGTGCATGGGCAAGACCACATTCAGAATATGGTGTCCAGCCTTAGGCTACAAGTTTAAAAAATAATCATTGGCAGTGCTTAGACTCTTGGACATAAAAAAGCATGCTGATTCCAATGAATTTTTGAAAATCAGGGCACCATCCGGGTCTTCCCTGAAGTCAATCTTTCAAGGCTGTGTTCTGGATCTGCCCCTAGCTTTAATAAAAGTTTCTAAAAGGACATCTTATGAAAATCATGTTGAACTCTGTTTTTTACAATATTTGATATATCTTCTGCTGCAGAGATAAACCAGTGGAGCTCTTCTTGTGTATCTGGGATGTTCAAGCCATGCCTTGAGATGGAAATGCTTGAAATTTATTCTGCCCATGTTGCAGTCCTTTTGTGCTCTGATGTGAACCAGAGTATCTATATCATTTGTCAGGCCCTCTGCTGGGCCTGTACGTGTTTGTGATGCGTGTATATGTTGGTATATGGTCGGGAAACCTTGAACCTTGGCCTGCGTATGTTTGTGTTGACCATCTAAGGTTAACATAGAAGTGGCTGCAAAGGTCCCCGCCCAGGATTGCTTCTTAGGAAAGTAGTCACCACATGAAGTTGTAAGGAACATTAGCACTTAGCTTTCCCCGTATTGTATATAAGTTAACCGTTCTGTGCTCCCCATTGCCTTGAATGTTCAGGATAAAGGCAGCATGACATGGTTGTTGCCACCCAGCCTCCACTGGAGCATTGAATACCAGTATTGCTTTGCCAGCGATCAGCTTCAGGTCATCGAGTTGGATTGAGACCGAAACCATTTAAAAGCTGGTTACGAATATGGCGAAGCCGGCCCGGAATCCCCAGTGGCGTGTCACATTCGTGGAACAATATCGCCAAATAGGATTACGATTTGAGTCATTTTGAAGCCTGCTCGGCATTCTATGATGCTGGTGGTCTATACTCATGGTCCTATGGTACAAACTGATTATTTGGCAACCAAACCATTGATATGATAGCATCCCCCCCCCCATCCCCTTTGCAGTGAGCTGCCCTAGACCGTACAAAATAGCATGGACTCTGTGCTAGTGACCTTTCCACTCCGTAAAGTATTCACGGCCGTGACTGAAAGGCGAATAATGCAAACATATAATTGCGTGCGACTCAGGATCTCATGTTTTGTTGATTTGGGATCTGGGCCCTGATTGCCAGCAATGGCCATTTCAGAGATACCGGTGAAGGGGCTAGGCGAGCGGGGAGGGGGCGGAGGGCAGAAAACTGCGGCCAGTGGGGTGTTCTACCGAGACTACCGCTACCGAGACTTACAACCTTACAGACGACCTTCTTCGGGATATACGCAGGTGCTCTGGCCAGGGGGACACTTGAGCCCGCTCGTGGCCGATGCACGTAGCTTGTCCAGGTGAGACGGAGTGTTGCGGGAACTCGGATCAAGTGTCAAGCGTTGTATGATGAAAAACGGCGGGTGGGATCTCATATGTGCACGGGATTCTTTTCAGGTCTTGAGGAAGTGGTAGATCTGAAGTCAACGTGCCCAGACGGGAAGATGAGTAAAAAGGCTCTGCTTCTTCTGGCCGCAGGCGCGGAGGAGATGGAAGCAGTCATTACCATTGATGTACTGCGAAGAGCCGGGGTACGTGTGAAATCAGGGTTGGCCTGCTACATTTTGCAGGAATCTGTACCGGACACCATGCTTGGTCGGTACTTGCTGACCTTGCAAATGGTACTACGGCACCATACGGCACTGGAAGGTACTAGGATAACCTTCCCTCTGACTGTCTCTGAATCACATGGCTCAAGATCTTGCAGAAAGATCGAAGCTTAGGTTCGTACTTGCATGTCACTTTGGTGTCTTGCCTTCTTAATGTAGCATGTGCACTTAGTGTAGCAACCCAACACAGAGTGCAGTTGCAGATCAAATAATCAAGCTAGGTGAATATTGACAACCGCCGTCCTGCGCAGACCGATGGAAAGAATTCGTCGGGTATAACAGGTGTTATCTCGTGCCAGGCGTAGGGTAGTGGTGGTCAGAAGCAGGTCTGGTCAGGGGAGCGGTGGTCAACAGATGCAGGTTTGGCAATGTTGTCCGCGCGCTTGGACAAGCGTTGATCAGTAGATAAACATGGAAAATTGCGGTGTAGCGTTTCAGTAAAGAAGTCGAGGACCCTCTGACTCGGAACTCCTGCCAGAGAGCGCTCGACAGTAAAAACTGGGCATCGCGGTTCATCGTGATGTACTCAGCTATATCAGTGAGAAATGTAGTCCCCGGGCTGATTCATTTACGCTCTACACAGGGAATAATTGTGTGACACAAGTGACGCATTCGAAATCGTTCATCTATAAAATTCAGGTTTGTTCCACTTTTATAGATTCTGGAAGCTCCCACTACACCTTATACATCTTTTAGTTGTGAACAGCTGCATTATACTAAGAATGCATCAAAGCGCGCCATGTCATACCTGTCGCGTTGTGTTACTTAATGCCGGCATGTCACGATGGACGTGTCGCCAGGTTTAAGCAGAACTTCGTTTGGGCACCAACAGGTGGCGGTGACGGTGGCCGGCCTGCACGGCCCCGAGCCGGTCAAGTGTAGCCGCGGCGTGACGCTCGTGCCCGACGAGGCACTGGAGGCGGCTGCCAAGGGCGGTCCGTACGACGCCGTTGTCCTGCCGGGCGGCCTGGAGGGCGCTCGCAGCCTTTGCAAGGTCAGCTCGGAACGATGTGGCATCCAGGTTACGCGAGCTGGCGCTGGAACTGGCTGGTCACCGTCATCTCGCCGTATCGAGGGGCACTTTGCCTCTCATATCAAACACGCCTCATACCGACCATGCCTCCTCATAGCAAACATGCCTCCTCATAGCGACCACGCCTCATAACAAACACGCCTCCTCTAGCGACCGCGCCCCCTCATAACAAACACGCCTCCTCATAGCGACCATGTCTCCTCATAGTGCATACACATTCTCATAACGACCTCGCCTCCTCATAACAAACACGCCTATCCATAGCGCCCACGCCTTCTCATAACAAACACGCCTCCTCATAACAATTATGCCTCTTCATATCAAACACGCCTCCCCAAAGCCAACACAACTCCCCATAGCAAACACGCCGCCTCGTCACAGCAAAGATGCCTCCTCATCACATCAAACACGCCCCTCATCGCAGGAACCACGTCCCCCTATCATACCAAACATGCCCCGTCATGACGTCAGACACGCATGAGCTGCCTTGATTGTTGTGATGCTGCTCGATTCTGACGGCTGGCGTCTGCCCCTGCCACAGAGCTGTCCTTTGCCCCGGACTGAATGCTGTCCTCTGCCCCGGACTGACCGCCGTCACCGACTCCAGTATAAGCTCCACTCTCTCCGAGTCTGAGCCACCGTGACCCTCCGTCCCGGTCTGATTCGGTGACCGTCCCGCGCCGCAGCGCGACCTGGGCGGCTACGTTCTGGACCCGGTCTATTCTAATGACCGGTCCGCTATTGAATCTCATCCCCGTCATCTTGCTCGTCCTACCCAGCGACCGTCGTGCACTCCAGACCTCCAGTCACCCAGTCTGCCCTGTCTGACTGTGTCCGTCTGCCCCAGACTGACTGTATCCGTCTGCCCCAGACTGACTGTATCCGTCTGCCCCAGTCTGACCTGGTGAAGACGGTACTGAAGGAGCAGGAGGCGGCCGGCCGGCTGATCGCCGCCATCTGCGCCGCGCCTACCGCCCTTAAAGCGCACGGCGTCTGCACCGGCCGTGCCCTCACCAGCTACCCCAACTTCAAGGAGGAGCTGTTGGAGGGCGGCCAGTACATCTACGTGGAGGACCGAGTGGCCATTGACGGTGAGTGGTGGCTGTTGGAAGCTGTCGGGGGCGGCCAGTGCGGCTACATGGAGGACCGGGTGGCCATTGACGGTGAGTGGTGGCTGCTAGGAAGAGCTGTCAGAGGGCGGCCAGTACATCTACGTGGAGGACCGGGTGGCCATTGACGGTGAGTGGTGGCTGCTAGGAAGAGCTGTCAGAGGGCGGCCAGTACACCTACCTCGAGGACCGGATGGCCATTGACGGCGAGCGGTGGCTGCTGGAAGGAGCTGTCGGGGGGGGGGGGGGGGGGGGCAGTACAGCTTGATTTGATTTGATTTGATGTGATGTTTATTTTCGATTATGGACATTAAGCAGTACATAATATGATGAGTGGATTGGTGAATAAGCGGAACGCTTAAATCTGAGCGTCCTCTCCTAACAATAGCAAGATATAGTCATCGCCGCCAGGGAACCCACGACACACCGCCCACTCGCCCGATCCGTAAGCCGACACGGGCCAGGCGTCCGCCGCCACTCCAGTGTACACATATAGCCGTCTCGGGACGGCGGCGGACGCCCGGCCCGGCAACGCCACCCAGTGGCCTGTCTGCTGCGCGCGCCCGCTGGAAGTTTTTAGGCGAATCGTTTGGTCTGAAAAAGAAATGTTTGAAAAATTGTTGATATGTGCTGCCCATTGCGATCCTGTAAACCGTTAACTGTGAGATAGATACTTAGTTGCTCTTTGTGAGTGAGCTCAGAAAAGTTTGGAATGACGCGATCTGTTTTACGTAGCATTGAAATTTGGATTTCATGATAGCGATGACAGTTCAGTACAAAGTGTTTAGGGTCTTCATATGGATAGCCACATAAGCAAGAGGGACTAGGTGTAGTTGGATTTTCAATTTCGAACAGGTGGGTATTCAGGTCTGACATTCCCAATCTCAGTCTAGTATTTAGGATGTTACCATGCCCGGATCCAAAGCTGTGATACACCGGAGGCGCGGCCACACCGCAGCGCTGGTATATTTCCCGTTTGAAGGAACGAAAAGATTGGAGAGGTGACACCTCAAGCGCGAGCTGTTTCTTTCTTCTCGTAGTTGATGGAATACAGGATTTTTGGTATGTTGAGGTTCTGTTCGGTGGTAATGTGAGTGTCATTGCATTGCATAGTGGGCGTCCTGTTGCAAATGCTCGTGTGTCAGGCAGAAGTGCAGTGACGTTTGTTGGCAGTAGATGTTGGTTGTGTATGAGGTTGTGGAACAGTGTCAGTTTGTGCATGTTTCTTCGCCGATTTGAGGGTGTTCCATCCCAAGTCGTCAACAGTGCGTGGGTGTGTGTTCCTGTAGAGTGCACCGGTGATCAGCCTTGCTGCTCTGTACTGTAATCTGTCAAGGCTAAGGGAGTCGCTGGTTGTCAAGAGTCCGTCGTATATTACGTCACAATAATCAAACAAAGGAAGAATGTAAGTCGTATATATGTCGTTGAGGATATGCCGAGGCAGATGTTGCGATAGTGGGTAGAGAGGTCTAAGGGCTCTACTGGTTTTGGAGATGGTGTCATTAAAGTGCTGATGAAAGTGCAAATCAGTAGATATCGTCAAGCCAAGGTGTTTGTGGCTTGTAACGGAAGGAATTCATTGACCATCAAATGCCAGCTGCAGGTGGGTTATGTGTGTTTCTGTTGGTGAATGTTTGTTGAATTGTTTTCGTGGCGTTGAACGTGATGAGCCAGTCTTTGCCGAACTCTTGAATGAATGTCGTGTTGGAGTGCCGCTTGAACAGTAACTGGGTCGTGTCAGTGAGCTGTGTATAGTGTAGTATCGTCAGCAAAGAACAATATGTCATTATCAGTCTTGTCGGCTAGGTCGTTAAGATATATAAGCGCAAGGAGAGGTCCCAGAACAGACACTTGCGGGCACCCAGCATGTATGGTTGTAGGCGTGCTGAAACTGTTGCCTACCTTAACTATCTGCTTACGGCCTGAGAGATACGATTCCAGCCACTTTAGGAGAGTTCCTGACAAACCACAATAGTTCTTGCACTTGAGTAGTTGTGCCATATGTTGTCAAAATATTTACTGATGTCCAAGTAAATGGCTATAAAGCTATTGCCTCGGTCCAAAGCTGCATAAAGATTGCTAATTAAATATACCAGCTGAATTTGTGTTTTGTTTTGGGCGTTATCCACTTTGTTTTCCAGAGAGCAGCC